TGATAATTCAAAAAAAAATAATAAAATTTAGTATAAAAATTTTATATGTAAACTAACCAATGAAATTTAATTGACTTTTTTAATCAAACAATTCATTAATTACGTTTTTTAACAAAAAAAAATCTTTAATTTTCTATAAGGAAATATTATACATTAGATTATATAAATAACATAATCCATTTTTATTATAATCAGAGATAATAGTTTTTTATCAATAAGTTTTAAATAGGGATACTAATGGTTATAATTATAAATAATCATAACTGGTCATACCTATAACTAATATTAGTTAATTAAAAGTTTCTAACTGATGATTAATTGAACAATTTTGACTGATTTTGATTGATCGGTTAACTATACATTTTTTAATATAATTTAAGAATTCTTTGCATTTAATTAACAATTATTTTAGTTATGTAATTTTTTATAAATAAAAATTTTTAATTTATTTTTTAAAAAAAGTATATAATAATACTGTAAAAATGAAAGTAAACTTAATATGCATATTCAGTTAGCCTAAAAGAAATAAGTCAAATATATAAAAAATTGGAGTTTTAGTAAATACCATTTTAATATTATTTAAAGTTTAAATTAAAATTATTGATCAAGAACTTTAAATTATATTATCGTTATATTAGTCAGTTAACTAGTCAATATAACCAGTTGGTCAGTCAAAGGTTTCTGATAACCATTGACTAATTGTTGACTAATCATAATTGATTATTATTATTTCTAGTTCTAGACATTAATTATATAATAAAAGCATTTTCAATATTTTATTTATATAGATGTATTGAATTTACTTCTAAATAGACTTAGAATATTATACAGTAGAATATTTTAGCATTTATTAAAAGAAAATATTTATATAATTAGATTCTAAAATATTATTTTTTTTCTATTAAATATAAACTTTAAATAAATACACTTACTTATATCTATCTGATTATACCATTCATTATTAATTTGTATTCATTTGAAAATTTATTTTTAATCTATATTACCTTTTCATATATAGGAAGTAAATCTTCATATATATTATTTAAAACTAAATAAAATTATATTTTTTTACTTAAGTATTTTTTAAAATAAATATTTTAACAAAATAATTTTTTTATCTTTTATTTCTTTTTTCAATTCCGACTTAAATTCTAACTATAATTCTATAAAAAAATATATATTAGAAAATCTATATTAAATTTATTAAATTAATATATAAAGAAATACTAAAAATAAATATATATTTACTTTTAGTTTCTTTATTTATTTAAGGAAAAACAATTTACTTAGCATAAGAATTCATAAAAATTAAGAGGATTTAAAGTTTTAGCTTTTTATAATATCGAATAAGTTATATTTTTAAAAAGTACTGATACTATAATTATTGATGAAGTTTTAGTAGTATTAAAAAAGCTTTTCAGATTTATTTCAGATTTATTTTTAATTAATTATTAAATAACAAATAATTATATTTGAAATGTTAAATATAATAATAGTTAGTGATTTGGCTTAATAACTTTCTATAATTGGATTACCTAAATACAAATTATCAGAATAAAAGTTGTTTTTCCCTTATTTTTAAAAAAATCTTAAAGCAAAACTAAGATATACAGTATATTACTATAATATCTTACAAGAAATTAGAATAGGCAACATATAAGTGATGGATAATAGAAAAGAAAAAATCCAAATTTTTGTCAAATTATTATGAATTACTTGATTGATTTTATTCATATGTATAAATTTAGTTTATTAATAAAAATTAACAAAAATTTGTATTTCTCCTTTTCTACTGACTGCCTTTCATATCATTAAATACATTGATATTTTATATTAATAAAATAGATTCTTTGATCACTGAAATTCACTCAATATTACTTTTATATAACAAATATTGTTGAATATAAACTATTTGTTGATTGCATAAATAATATACTTTGCAATATGGTGTTAGTAAATGATGATAAGTTTTTAATTAATTTAACCATTGATTTTATTAATGGAGAATATTCTATTTAGATAAATCTTAAAATAATTTAAAAAATAATTAATCTTCCAAGTTATCTACACTTGCAATAAGATGCTCAATTAATATATCTACAGTAAAAAATAAATTGATAAAAAAAATATATGTAATCATATTATTGGAATTATATTAGATATTAATTTATATCCTTTGCAAGTAAAAATTAATTAAGTGTAATGAATGGAATTGTGTATATTAAAATTAAAAAAGAAACATCTACATTTATGATAAATGGAAAACTATCAAGTAGGTATCAATTTTCCTTACAGATTACCTTTGCCTTTAAAGTGCATAAAATATGAGGTTTAATTTATCTGAAGTATCTGTGTCTTGATCAAGAAATTTTTTCTGCTAGTCAAAGTTATGTTAAATTAAGCCAATGCTTTGATTGGTCAAAAGTTCATATCGCTTCATTACATTCTTCTGCATATATTACAGATAAATCAATGCTTAAAGAATATGAATGATTAGAACAAAAATCAAATACTTCTTTACATTTGTGAATATAATATATTTTTAATAATTATTTTCTTAATAAACAATATTAACCTAATAAAATGCTTTCTCCTTTTCAAAGTTTATTAAATTACTTTACAAATATAACAAAATTTTTTTGTAAATACAAATATTATTGATTATAATATAAGATTTATTTATATGAATAAGATATTTAATCCTATACAATCAGTCCCTCGTATCGCAACTTCTAGTTATAGTAGCATCAATCTCCTCTTGTCCTGTGGCCATATAATAACGCTGCCAATTTCAAAGACTGGCTCTCGTGTCTACTTTGCGATTGGAAACAATTGAACCTTTCATTTAATCTGAATGATTTACGTCCTAATCTCATTCTTGGAGGAAACACTCCCATCTCGTCATTTATATAATACCAATATAGAGGAATTGCGAAAGATTTTAGTATAAGGTCAATCATCCAAAATTTGTAATATACCCGGAGTATTATTGCTCGCAATATACGTTAAATACAGTATTACATTACAAACTGTATATTCCGATTAAAAAAATCATCCTCCTATCAAAATACCCTCTACCCGAATACTTAACAAATTGGAGGTGGATTTAAAAAAACCCAGTATAGTTTAGTCAGTGCTCTACGGTAATTATCTTGTAAGGTCAATAATGTCAGTTATATTATATCGTAATAGATGATAAAAATAAAGCTAAATGTCAAAAACCAAAATAAAGTTACCAATCGAAGAATTAATGTGCATCTTGTTGTAAATTTCCAGATTAAATTAATCTCGGATGGTATTCTTGTAGTTTTTAGCTTACACTGATATAAAGTGTATCTGTCTAAAACGGTGTTAGGGTATTTCATCATACGATCAAGTTTGGTATTTTCTAACAAGTTATTCCTTGGATCATTCTCATGACCAGATTTAATGGCTGTGTGGAGTCAATTTAGTCTAAAATTAATAAATTAATGTTTAGATTTATATTCAATTTCTCAATTATAATCAATACGTTTAATTACTAACAGATTTTAACAAAATGGTAAAAGATAGATCCCTAAGTTTCGATTTGACTTTTGACAATATCGTAGATTGATTATAGTACCTCTAATACCTAAGGGTAGGGTAATGCAACCTTTCAACCTTTTGTTCGACTGTCAAATTATCCATGTTCATATTTAACGTCAAATGGTTAATTCAAAAGTCTATACAATAAAAAATATGTAATACAATATGTTAATAACAGATTCATAGGTTAAAGAAAGACAACAAGTACAGGAAAATTCATCGTTTTATTTTTTTCACTTTTGTAAAGTCGCTTAAAAGTTTTAAAGTTAAATGGCCAATTATGCTGGTACTCAACATTGCTCTAATTAAATATGCACATAATATACCCCTCTTCAAAAATGTTTCTTTTTCATTTACGATGCTATTGCTCATGTTCCACATTATGCTTTAATGATTGACAGAAACTGCTTAAGAATCATTTTTACTCACATTTCTTTATTTGTTCTTAAACGCTTTGCTCGGACAGAACCCTCGAATGACGAGGACAACCTATACGCTTTAATTTTGACTGAAAGTCTGGCAAATCAGAAAGTCATCTAAGCACAAACACCATTAATGATAACAAATTCCTTATATTTCAATAGAAGAATCTTACTCACTGCTCATTATTGTGAAGCAACTTCCATGTTTTATCGCATCTTTGGTCTTTCTTGTTATTTACTTGGCCTGAAATATAGCGATCAATCTTGCGTTCAACCAGTCAATATCACGACCATTTAGGAGCCTGAGTATATTCCACTCGGAAGCTTTAGAGAACGTCGCTACTTGTCCGCCTACAAGAATGTTAATGAAAAGATAGGTTATGCGCAGTGTAGCAGGGTAATTAACTATTTTGAAAAAAATTAAAGTTATAATTCGTTTGAAATAACTTTTTTTAAAAATATGGCAGATGTGATATATTCAAGAATATTCAGAATATCATGAAAGGTTATGAACTTGTTGTTATCTTTAACAATTGATATAAAAATACAAACATAATTTACATTACAAATCTCTAGATATATGAACTGATTTAAAAACTTTATTCACTATCGTCATTGTTGCTGTTAAAGTCACATGCAGAAACCATTCAAAATTTTCGCTGGTTTGTTGTTACTTGGCGCATCTAAAATAAAGCAAATAAATCGTGTACTAGTTTAAAAGATTTTAATAAAATTTACTTCTATATTTAGGCAATAAACCAACATAATTTGAAAAAATTATTAAGAACATTTCTTTTAGCTGAATAATTATTAACCTACTCTAATCTTATATAGTTTTGGTAATCAAACGAAAAAATGGTATAAGGAAAAGGTATCTGTGCTACTAAAATGATCTGATCGTAAGTAAAAACAAAATTCTCCTTAGACTTTATATATAAATTATATATATCACATTTGATTTAGAATATCACGTGAAGAAAACAATTTAAATGATCCAAAAATTAGATAATATTAACTTCTTATGAGTATTGTCGTTGTGGTTAGTGCTTGAGATGTATAAGATATATAAGCTAGCTGATCCAGGTACGACTCCCATCGTGCAAAATACTGAGTGACTATTTGATAACGAGTTTCAATTTGAGATATAGTTGCAACAGTAGATCTTCGAGGCAAGTTGTCAATTAGGCACGAAGTATTAACTCAAATTTTTTTATTAAAAAAAAAATGGCATATCGTGATCGGATACACATTTGTCTGCAGCTATTAAACAATCAATCTAATACTCCCTTTCATTTTCCTTAGCTCGCGCAAATATTTTATGATTTGGTTAATTTTTGTATTTTTTGTTAGCTACAGGTTCGATCGGTTCATTGCTCCTCTTCTTTAGGTCCCTCTTAGTTCTGTAAGTATAGGGTACGTAATTTTTAATTTATTATCATTTTTAATTTATTTTTCTTTATTTGATATTTATTATTTTCTTTTTTTTAGGTTTTTGGTCTCTTGGGGAGCAACTTTCTGTCGATTATCATTTTAACTTTTTCTTTCTTTAGGCTCGTTCAATTTTGAGCCGAATCTTTAAAAATAATATTTCAAACAATTTTTTTTTTTTAGGCGAACTTTTTTTAATTTAGATGAATAGATGGATGTATTAGTAAGATTTTGTTTTAAACTGTTTTATTTTCTTTAGTTAATTTTTATCGGGTTTGAATAGGCAAGTATTTTTTTTGGTTATTTATCAATTCTTTTTATTATTTTCTTTAGGCGGATGCACGACAAAGTTTTTAATTCTCGTTTCCATTTTCTGGTTGAATTAATTCGGGTTGTGAGTATTTCTTGTTTTTACATTTTTCTATTTAGTTTTTTTTACTTTTGCTTAAGACTATAGTCTTTTAATTTTTATTTCGCCCGTTATTATCATATTTTGTTAAGCTATGTTCTAGTAGCAGGTTTAGTGGATCGTTGATTACGCATCAGGCTTTCTAGTTTCCAAATGAAAAAAACTAATTCGTAATTAAATATTTTCAATTCAATGCATAGTACCGCACAGCCTTTTGAAAAAAGCTACATTCTCATTTGAATTTTTTGAATTTATTAACTTTTTAATGATTTTCAATTCAATATATTTTTCTTCAGAAAAATAAGATCATCTGGTTTATTTTTTAAATTTTGTTTGCTAATAGATATCCTTTTTCTTCGTCTAATTATCGTTTAATATAATTTTTTAATCGATCACCTTTCCCTTCCATCATAAAATATCTTTTAACCTCCTGTCTTTGTAAACATAGATCTTAATCCGATATTAAGTAACTCAATAGTTGACGTAGACTTAAAAATCATAAAGGTCTAAAAAAAAATTCCAACAAAAACTCGAGCCAAATTTCTAATATTGTTGCAGCCAAGTTTCTTGTAAGTAAAAGAACGATTTTGCTTTCCTTTCCTCTTGATCCTTCATCAAGAAAAAAAAATTGATAGGTAATAATAAATGTACTCAGAAATTTTGTCGTCGACGAAAGATTATATATAGCTACTCCCAAATTTAAGTTTCGGCCTAAGTAAAATTTAACCGGTTAAAAATTTTTACTAGGTAATTAACCAGTTAAGGATTTTTAGGATGGTTTCAACTGTCATTCTTGGCTTCGGACCAAATCAGTAATACATAAAACCTTGCGACAAATGTCTTAACAAGTTTGGCATCAAGATCATCGAAAAATATCAGGTGTAAATCCACTATAAATATATCTATTACTGTTATTTTTTTACAATTTTCTCATGGTTTACACAGAAATTATTAAGCTGAAAAAAAAGCAAGCATCAATAAAAAGCGCTATAATATCTGTTTGATTGCCACCGTGATTTGAATGTTAAGTTAAGTCGTAAGAACATGTTTAATTTGCGCCAATGATAAATAACATTACGGAGACTCATCAACACGATGATGATTCGAATGAATACAATTAAACGTGTAATATCGTTAGTCAATGGTTGTTATATTTTTATTCACTCGCAATTTTATTAAATGTAATTACTTGCGATAGCAAATTATACAACTGTATTAATAGTCTGGTTATTTATGGAATCCATTAATAAACTAAGGATACTAAATTTCATAACGACCTCGAATATCAAAACGTTCAAAGACATGCATGTAGTTCTTGATTTTCGATGGCACAAATAATAACATCATAACTTTTGTCATTTTTAAATAAACGCTAATAATCATCCTGCAAACATTTTTTAAAGAAGAAAAAGGAAATAAAATCATTGAGAAAGATATTTACAGTATATTAGCTTTGGGGGATATAAAACAACAATATATGATTATAATAAAACTAATTAATCATTCAATTGTATAAAATGGAGTAAATCGTTTATTTTAATAATAAATATTTATTATGTATTTCAGTATTTACCTAAATTTATTAATTCTTTTTTCGAGCGAGATGTCTTGGATATTCAATATATATTATTGGTATGATTTTTTGTATTTTTTGTGATAATTTAAAAAGATTGAATTGATTTTAGCGATGGTACTTACCTACATAATAACAAATGGAAAATCTCAGGACCACAGTAAGGACTTATGACATAATATCAAAAGAACAGAAACTCAATGTGATTAGTCTATGAAGATATATAAAATTACTAAAAAACCAAATTTTCATATAAATCTAGTCATTAATAAATAAAAAGATTCTTTGTCAATTATTTTAGAATTTCAGGAAATTTAGAATGGAAACCACTGAATGAAGAATAGCTTCGTAAATGTAAAAGTTCTATTTTTTCATCATGTTTTAAATAAACTCTTTCGAGAACTAAATTATTATTACGTTTCTATCGTCATATACACGTAAATTATTCAACTCTTCCTGTTGTTTGAATTAAAGTGAATGATAATTTTTTGTTTTTAACTCGAAAGTATCCAGTGCTTGCATTACTTTAGAATATGGTAATCCGAAGAATGCTAAAGATAAATACGCCGCTTGCACTATAAACAAGAAAATGAAGACAAATGCACGACTACGCTGATTCAAGATTTAACTCAATAGGGTTTGTAAGTTTGGAGGTGCCAAACATAGATTAAAATCGGGTTACGAGAAATTGTAATTAAATTGTTCCAAACCAGAACTTTAACGATTTACTAAACTTTTAATTGCGATAATTGAGCGAATAGGCTGGCTATTAAAAGGTAAAAAAAAATAAAATGGAGAATAAAATTTCGATTTTGTTATAAAGTATTTAATGCAATAAAATAAAATCAAGTTATTGGTGATTTAATTACAGCAAATAAAAAGAAGATTATATTTTATAAATTTATTTAAAATTTAATATTAAGCTTAATAAACTGTCAGAATTAGAGAATCAGAGTGAATAACTTATAATTATCTACTTCATACTTACCTTTTGGAATATCAATTTGAGAATAAGCACTTGGGTTATTCGCATGCCAAGTATTTTTATAAGCAATATCAAAACCTGCACCAAACATGGATCATACCATGGTTCACAATATACAGCATATTGAGCATGTTCATCCTTAATATAACCTACTTTTGCAGTTTGAACGTTTGTCTATTTACGAATGAGAATAAAAAACCATCTTTGGAAGTTATCCATCGAAATCCTTCACACCCAAATGGATTATACCCTCCCACTATTTGTTCCGTGCCTTTAATTTTTAATACAACTATATTGGCCCCTTTGTTATCACATTTATGATGAAAATCTGCAGGTGTATTACCATCCCTACTGGCACGATAAAGTAAATTAAAACTATAAAACGACTTCGTGACCTTATTTTCTTTCTTATCAATCCAGCCGGAAAATATAGAAAAATGACGAGAGTTAACTAGGATAGAATCACATTTTGACTGTCTAGGTGGTTGTATAGTAATATCCAATTTCATATCTGGTGCCATGACGTATACTAACAGGTTAGCAATCAAATCCTTCGGTAATAATTCTCTAAAAGGAAATACTTTTTCAAGAAAATCTTGTGAAGACATTTGATGAAATCTAATTATTCACTCTTTCGATCATAATTAATCGTTTTAAATTACACTGCCAAATCAAATTGTTAAATAGTCATATTTTTGCTTTCGATTTAGAAAGAGGAGTTTTGATAGGTCGTCTAGTGATGTTAGTGATGTTGGCACCTTTTTAAGTCTTAATAACTTCTTTGTCTCTTTATCACGTTCGTTATAAATTGATCGATGTTCAACTCTATTAAAAAATATATTCCTCTTATTCATTAGCACGAGTATAATTAAAACCGACATGATATACTCGTTGATAATATTGACACTTTTGAGTAATGGTAAGTTTTGAAATTTTATTAGCTTATTACAATAGATTTTAACTTAATTGTACGAAGAAACATAAAGAGCTGATTGACGAAACTTACCTCGTTTTCATAGTTTTGTAGCAATATACACGTGATGCTGGAATTTACAAGTATTTTCGCATTACGAAATCTTGATCAATGACTGAAACTCTATGTGATATGAAATTTAATAAACTAATTTTGATGCATTATAATCAGGAATAAATAATTTGTATTATTGTTAAATTATTTACTAATTATTGCTGCATTTTTTTATGTAAGAATATCAATGAGCCGATCTTCCATGATGGATGATTATTTGATTATTGGATTGTGGTGTTGTTATTACTATTTGATGACTTTAATTCATACATAATCGTCATAAACTTCCTTTTCTAAGAGATCCAATTCGACAATCCACGGTTTGTTGCAAGATATGAAGCAAAAAAGGCAAATCCAATTGTTATTAATTGCCACAATTGCCGAATTATCAACATCACGACCCAAGATTTTCTTGAAACTTTCCGTAAATGACGGTTCGTATAAATATTAGAAGTATCGTAGGAAGACTAAAATAAATGTTTATTTTATAAACACTGTAGCGGAAAAAACACTGTAACAATAACGATCAATAGATCACATACTTATTGACCATTCGTCATAAGAAAATTTATTTCACTTTTATGCTATTAAAATACGGATTGATTAATTATGACAAGAGACTCGATTTCTTACAAACTCATTTTTGACAAAATGTTGTAAATATCCTTTTAGAAATTGCTTTTTTAGCAAGATTTTTGAGTTCTTGAATATAAGGATTATAATCCCAAAGGAATGATCTTTATTATTCTAATTGGAAAATGATTAAGATTTTGTTAAGAAAATATTTATTACATAAAAGAATTAAATGGCGCGATAACTACGTAACTTTATTTTAAAAAGGCAATAATATATAATTGTGATCGCATAACCTAGGAAAAGAAATCGACTTTTAGTTTCGTTTATTTTATTCCTATTTTTCGGTTCGTTTTTTTCCCAATTAAAAAGGGCCGCTCAAATCACTACGCTGACGATCGTTTAGACGGCACGATCATTTTGCCGATATGATCATTTGACCGACATCATTATAGCTAATTTGTAATTAAAAAGGTTATTTTTAAAATTTTATTGATTGTATTTATATACTTTATAATGAGGACGAAAAGTCTACGCTCGCTCGAATTATATTAGTTTTGAATGACAACAAATGAGACAATGATTACATCTCAAAATAAGGTTATACCTGAACTGTAAATATTATTTAAGTGCACATTTGCAATGTAACGGTTATGTTTGAAACATTCAGAACGATATCGACGGTAAGATACTCTATATTGTCAATATATATTCCTGCTCCTTCCCGGTATCTTTTTTGATTTGAATGGTGATCGAACCAAGTCACAAGATCAATATTAAGATAATTTCTTTTCACTTCATTTATATGTAGTTCAATTCAATATTATTCTTGGCAAATAGTAAGATTTTTAATATTATTCCTCATTTTATAAGGATAATGGCCGCAGTTGCTGTATCTTTTTATATTCAAAATCAAAATATTTGCTACATAAAGCTTTACCTTGCAAATATATTTAAAACCTTACGAAAATTATAAATTATAACTCAAAATAAGGAATAAAAGAATATATTTAAGTTCTTCAATTTTTTATGTATGCAAATTCAAAACTTTAAAAATGCACGTTTGCCATTAAAGTCAAGGCACGGGAGATAGTAAATTGTATGATTCGTAACATAGTTAATTATATGAAAGAAATAATTATGATAGCTTAAACTATTTGATATTTTTGGTAGTAATAATAGTATATTATTGATTCAAGTTAATCTCGAATTTCTTACTAAACATTGTGACGAGATTTTAAAACGAATGTCACAATTCTGCAATCACTATTTTTTTCAAGCTCAGGGTAATAAAACTTGTAAAAATAAATTTAGCAAACTTTGTGTGAAAAAAAAATTTGATTATTGGATAGCGAGTATAATCAATGCCAATGATGAAATTAGAAATACTATTTCTTTGTAGTATATGCCAATTGAATGGACTTCTATAATGCGGACATACTATCATAACTCCTGGTTCAGGGTTATGTAAATAAAGTTAGTTATTATTTGAATGTGTCATAATTAATTCCCATCAAAACTTACTTTGTGATGCTTATGGCAAGACTAAACGTGAAGCGGAAATTTACTAGATTAATTTATCTGATTGAGTTATACATCTTTTACAACATGGCTATATGTGAAGCGTAAGGAGATGAATATTCCGAAGTACAAGTTTATTTTCATAAGACTTCTAATGCAAATACTGATTTCAATTTAAATAAAAAATGATTTGCAATAATCATTCAAATAATCGAGAAATAAAAAAAAAATAAGTTTCCAAGAATCATAATAGAAAAAAACTAAATAATTAATGAATAAGTAATTTTAAAATTCATTTTAATAAATGTAATTTATCGGTAAAACGCATATAGTTTTAAAAACCTTTAGCAACAAAGCTCAGTTAATTTATATAAAAATATACATTCTACTTCGCGTTTATGCTTTCTTGCCTTGAATACATTTTTGATGATAGTTATATTTACAAATAATAATAAACAGACTAATTTAATATTTTTAATAGCTATATTGTAATATCATGATACAAAGTATAAATAAACTCTCTCAATGACAAATTACTTCATGGCCAAAGAATAATAATCCTATCCTATACGGACGTGTAATTATGTCAAATATTTTGTTTGGGACAAGAATATTTAGAGATAGATAATATCAAATCTTTTAATAATATCAATACTTAAAAAGCCTTTTTAACTGTCATCCACAAAAATATTGTAATAATACTATTCCTTTAATTTAACAAATTTAGAAACCATCAAACTTTCAAAGTTTATAATTATTGAATAAACAATCAACGATACAATATATTACATTTAAAAACGTCAACCAATCATTTATATAATAATATATATAAATATATATTTATTTTTTATTAAATTGGAATACCTCATAATCATCTGATTGAAAATGACTTGAAATATCAATTCGAGAATAAGAATGTGGGTTATGTACTTTTGACTATTAAAACCAATTTCTCCATCACCAAAATATGGTCCATAATTTGGATTACAGAATACAGCATATTTAGCATGATCATTCATAATATAACCTACCTTTGCAGTTTGAGGGTTCGTTTCTATTTACGAATGAGAATAAAAAACTATCTTTGGTAGATTTCCATTGACGATTTCCTTCCCATCCAAATGGATTATACCCTCCCACTATTTGTTCCGTTCCTTTAATTTTTACTACAACTATATTGGCCCCTTTGTTATCACATTTATGATGAAAATCTGCAGGTGTATTACCATCCCTACTGGCACGATAAAGTAAATTAAAACTATAAGATGTCTTGACATTATTTTCTTTCTTATCAATACAGCCGGAAAATATAGCAAAATGACGAGAATTAACTAGGATAGAATCACATTTTAACTGTCTAGGTGGTTGTATAGTAATATCCAATTTCATATCTGGTGCCATAGTGTATGCTAAGAGGTTAGCAATCAAATCCTTCGGTAATAATTCTCTGAAAGGAAATACTTTTTCAAGAAAATCTTGTGAAGACATTTGATAAAATCTAATTAAAGGAATATATCTATGAAGAGTTCTTTCCATAACAATAGTTACTTCATTGCTCCATTCTTTGACGTCTTTAGGAATAGAAGGGTTCTGAGCAAAACCCCATTTAATTAAACTATTCCAAATATAAACTTCATCCAGCCTTAAATCATCACGTTTTAAAAGGTATTCTAATAAAGGTGCTTTTATACTGATAAATTTATCAGAATTAAAAAGCTCTTCGGGTTCTTCACAAATTTTTTCAAAATAAAAATCCCGTAACTTCGTAAAAGATTCATGTTGATAAACTGTTTCAAGGATTCCAATAGAATTATTTTGTAAAAATTCATGATGATAACTAATAAAATAATCTTCAATTTCGAGAATTAAGAATTGATGATTAAGTTCGCATGCCTAGCTTAAGAGTTTAAATAATTCAGTTCCTTCTAATTTCGTCATGTCAATTCTTCCACAATATATAAATCTAAAATTGCAAGAGAAATTAGTAACTTGACTTATATTATTGTCGTAGTTATACTTTATTTACCTTAAAATAATTTTAAAAAGATGTGGAGGAATGCTGGGTATTTTAATAATAAATTTCCCATCCCTCTTCTCAACATTTTCTTTAGTTAATTCTTCATAAAAATATTGCGACCTGAAACGTAAAATATTTGAATGTGCATGTAGTTCTTTGACGTTTTCATTTTCACCAGCATAAATGATGACATCATAAATTTTGTCATTTTCAAATAACCTCTCATAATCATCCTGCAAATTTTCTAAAGACATTTTTTTTTTTTTTACAGAAATTAAAGTTGAAAAAGGAAAATCATTGTTAGAAAATTCATTAACTAAATACAGATTGCATGATTTAATGATTACGCTACAAAGAAATATTAATAACTTAATTGTTCTATCGTGTTCTATTAGTTCCAGGGCATTGTGTCCCATTTCTGTTTAGCTTAAATTTAAGTTTTGTTAGTATTTAGTTAGACTTTTGTAGATCAATGGCCCAATTGTCCCCTGGCCAAATTGTCTGCAGGGCCAATTTGTCTCCTGGCAAATATGCCATCCGTCCATTATGTTTCGAGGACAAAAAGGCCTCTGAACAATGCTTCTTGCTGGGTTTTAAGTATAAAAGAGGTGGGATTACGCTTGAATAGAACATATCAAGTGTTCCAAATATTCCCTAGATATAAACGATAGACAATATTAATATATCCCCTTTCCATTTATTTGTAACGAATAACGAAAGTGTATAATAAATTACGTATCTGATCGTATAGAGTGCCGAAGATTGTGGCAATACCTTATTTACTTAGATTTATGATAGGTTTTCATTTGTTATTAATAAAGACACTTGAATAAATAATCCTTCTGCTTACCTTTTCTATTGTTTATAACTATAAACGTTTCGAACTGCGTGCAATAATAGCATACTTCGCTAAAAAAAAAATTATTTTTTACCCACTTAAATTAAATTATCTTTCAGCGCCTACAAAAAGCTCGGGCACGTGACTCCTTCTCAGACACGTTGCTTGCATACTGTGATTTCGCGTTTGATATTTAAATTTTTTTTATTGATATCAAAGTTAACAAAAAGAAATATTTTTTATATTTCTGCTTATATATAGATTACTTAATAGTAAATTGTATATGTTTGACTTAAATTTCCTTAACGTTAACGATACTAATATCGAATTTTAGGAAATATACAAGAGTAGCATTTCCATTGCGGAATAAATTTTAGCAGTTTAATATTTCAAGTAAAGATCCGTTAATGAAATTGTAAAATTAATTGAAGATGAATATAAATATTTACAACCAACAATATAAAAGTAAAGAATCAATTACTTACGTTCACAACGAAACATTTTATCGAAAAAAACAAAAAAGAATTCTGAGCAACGAGATTTTCTATCAAAGGAAAGATTTAAATGTGCCCTATGAAAAAAAGTTGTACATGTTTCGTACTGATTTCGTACAGGTGTATACTGAAATCATACAGCTTTTGTGTAGTTATTTCAATTTTCCATACAAAGATAATTGTACAGAAATTTTAAAATAGAGAAATCGTACAGAAAAAAAATTTGAAATTTGAAATAAATAAAAATTGTGCTGAATATTGTATTGAAAAATTAAAACATACAGATTTTGTATAGTTTAGTATTTTATCAACGTATGGAAAATTTAATATTACTAAAAGTGGTAAATTAAATTAATTAATTTTTTACAAAAATTGCAAATAATAACAAACTGAGCTTTAAAACCTTTCTTGGTATTAAAAGTAAACTTGCAGAGTAAACAAAAATACTATCTATGATAATAAATTTAAGCTAAGAAATTATCATACAAAAACTATATCGATTAGTACAGTTGATTTTCCTAATTCAGGAAAAATGTGCTAAAAATTTGACTGTACAGTTACTAGGGTTATTTCATGTTTTAGCACCCTGCACTGTCCAAAAATTGTAGTGTTTTTTTTGGCACAAAAGCTACACAAAAACTGTATGGGATTTTTTTCATAGGGATACTAGGTTTTCATATGAAGCATTACAGTTCTTTAAATAGCTAAGTTTATTTAGAAGAGTTATTCATGTCTTCAAGGCAAGTTGTGCAATAGTAATATTATTTTTATACGATGATATAGTGAAGGTAGAAATTATATACCGGAAAGTTTTTACCTGCTGACAAATTTATACAAGAGGATTAACAAATTGTATGTTTGTTTGAACAAATTAATACTGAATTTTATAATGATAGATTAAATGTGCTTGAATAATGAATCACTTTATACAGCATTTATAAGAAGGGTTTAATTAAAATATTGCAAAATATTACAAATCAGAACAATTTATCAATTTATTAGAGAATTTCACTAAATATGATAATGATGATTTTTCAGATTTTCAGATGTTTATTATGAAGGTGAATCAAGTGACAATGAAAAATCAGATCCAATGTCACTACCAATGTTACTAAATCCAAAGAAATGACGAGAAAAAGGATGTTCTTTGGGTACCAAAAGATTTAAATCTACTTGTGTTACTTGTGAAACATCTAAATCTAATTTAAAAAATCAAAGACAATATAAAAAATGCGAAGACGTGATTTCCTATGCTAGTCATTCCTTTACTTCTCCTGAGAAAAATTATTCAGCAACTGAACTTAAATGTTTAGTAATTGTTTGGGCTGTACAATACTATTTACATTATCTTTACAGGGTAAAAAGTTGAAAAAAGATAAGTTGAGGTATGTAGACATTTTCAACTTCGTGAATTTCAATTTTCCGTTATTAAAGACGGAAATTTGGCCTCCTTCTTTGTCAATATCAACTTTAATAACATTCATTCATGTCGCATTTTGTCATTTATTTAATATGGTAACTCCCACTGGAAGATTGACCTGATGGATCATAAAGTTACAGCCTTATGATTTCTGAGATTTACACTGCACTGAAAGGAAGCATATAAATGTAAACATTCTATCATGTATTATATACTAAATCAGAAAATAATTTATTACAACTAGTTAATTGAACTTTCTATTTGATAATTCTTATTGATTTAACCCTAACATAAACAATATTACATATTCATAACTACTAAACTTTATTGATTCATTAACTATTCCCAAAACCTGTCATTCTCACAAATATGAAAACTTAAAGTTCAAGCCTGATATTATTATGTTCGTAATGGAATTTATACAAAAAAAATAAACAAATGAAATTCATTTACTACGGGTCTTACAACCTTTTGAGGTTCAACCCATATTGTTCTCATTTCATAAAAATCTCCTGGCTGAACATTTTGGATTTGATGAAACCTATAGATCAATTAGCCTCAAATATTTCTAGCCTCAAATGGGAGATGATATTAAAATTATATTAGGTCCTGTGAACTATGTCAAAAACAAAAACCTTCCATACGTATTGAACTCCTACATTCTATTAAAGTTGAACAACTCTTTTATTGGGTTGGAATAGATGTTGTTGGACTCCTATCTTTAACTCAGTCTTGAAATCAGTACAGTATATTGTTATTGTTATTGAGTATTTAACTAAGTGGCCAGAAGCTCGTACCATTCCTGATACTAAAGCTGATTCTATAATTCAATTTTTCTATGAAGATATATAATATGTCGACATGGGTGTCCAAAAATTCTACTCACATATCAAGGAATCCACTTCGTTAATGAACTCTTACAAGGTCTTTGTCTATATATTAGCATTCATCAAACATTATCCACAGCATATTATTCTCAAACTAATTGATTGATAGAAAGGTTTAATTGGACTTTGTGTAATATCTTGGCCAAAGTTTCTAATGTATATACTGATGATTTGAATATACATGTACTATCTACACTATTTGCATATAGAACTATGCGGCAAAATACTACTAAGTATGAACTGTTTTTCTTATATATAGACGGGATGCCATTTTACCCATTGAATTTAGTGTTCCTGTTTTACCATCATCTGATATTTTGGTAGATCCTGAAAGAATGTGTCAAATCAGGATTGGTCAATTACAAGAGGCCCTTACCGATTCCTAAACTAATGCCTAATAAAATATACAAGCCGCCCAAGAAAAACAACAGAAATAATATGATAAGAAAGTTAAGTCACATACTTATTCTATTGGAAATTTGGTGCTTTACAAGAATTTTCAGACTCGTTAGCTAAATGATAAGTGGCTTGGTCCATATTATGTACATGACATCTGAGCTAATGTGACAATTAATCTTAGAACTACGACAGGCGAAATCCAGAAAAAGTGGGTCAATGCTAATCAAATCCTACCATATCAAAAGCGACTGATTGCATTATCGCTTATATAAAAAATTATTTTTTATATATAATGAATGGAAGAGGAATTCCTTTCAGTCAATAACAAATGAATTACCTTCAAAGATTACAATTGGATTTAACTCGAATGCCGACAAATGATCATGTCGAAATTCCTCGAATTCATTTTACAGAATTTTATGAAGATGGTCTTAGAGGACTAGTCAAAGTGTTACACTCTTCCCTGAGGAAAAATTTAAGGATTGCTGTGTTGATGTATACTTATTATTTGGGAAAAGGCTTCTAACTCGTATCAAGCTTGGAATTATCTATGAGGACTGATAATGCGGTATTACTTTCGAGGAATTTGTGGATTATACAACTTTTTGGAAGTAGTTGGGCCAACACCCATATACTCCTCGCAGATTTGTACATTAAGCATGATCTCTAGGCTGAAACATAAAGAACTTCAACAATTAGCAATGGACACCTCGATATGATGGAATATATATGTCAAAATGACCGTTTTTGACATAACGAAATGATCAATAAGCATTATCATCAGTCATGCCAAGAAATCTATAACTAAGTCATGGGAAGAGAATTTATTATAAAAAGAAGGGTTTTTCGTCTTGCTTTTAGAACAAAATTAGATAGCTTTGGGCCTATTACAGAGCGCCGGCAGAGGCAGTAATAGTTGTATTTATTGTATTTACTTCACATTTTATCAAATAAATTTATTTCTTTATTTTTACTTTAATAAAACTTTATTTAAATTCGATTGTTTTACATACATATTTTCGCTATACTACATTATGTCCTATACTAAACCCAATAAACCTAATAAAAATAAATCGCCTTTTTACGAATTTAGGAGGTGACACTTGTGATAACCAACTACACAAATCGAATCGTAAAATAAAACGTTATTAGTGATAAATTCCCAGGATAAAGGATTCCGGAATATTGTGTTGCAATACATGCATCGTTCGTTACCTCTTTGTTACCCCTAATATAGTAAATTGAGTAACAACTAATATGAAAAAAAAATAGGCTCTCGTGCATTGCTTCACAAGAATTACGTTATCTTCGGCTTTTTTTTTATTTATTAAATCTCATTTTTTTTATAATAAAATAATAACACTAGATGAATAACTATATAAATAGCATTAATCACAAGCGTTACCCATAAACTTTGTAACATAATAATTGAAGGCATTAATGATGATCACCATTTGGCCTAAAAAAAAAAAAAAGAAATACTCAAGGCACCATAAGTAACGCCTAATTTGCTACATTCATTTTTAAATTTATCAAGCGATACTACTGCGATGCTATTTCGTTGGAGTAGCAAAACACATCGTACGTTTTTTGAGTTTTTCATAAAATTTATCATTACACATGCAAGGCGCCAACTTTGGATCAACATTTTTTTTTAAAAGAAAACTAAATAAAATTTTTTTTTAATTTTATAAAACTTTAGACAAACTTTAAGACATACCATCAGGACTATAACTTCCGGAACTTGTGGATTTGGATGGTGGACTAAAAACACCGCCATAATTTGTCAATGTTTCATTGATAGCTTACAGGATCATTAAGAGTATTACAATCTTTTTGGGGGAAGGTCTAAAGAAAATTATTAAAAAAGTATAATTGAGCAAAGAAAAAAAATTACGAAGAAAAATAATTTCGGTTATATTTACGGTTATGTAGTTAGATTTTGTTTTGGTGATGAAGGTGTTGCTGATGTTGCTGATGATGGTGGAGCTTTAGCTGGCGTTTTAGGCGGACTATTAATATTAATAGTTAAAAATATTTATTAGACATTTTAATTTGTTTTTATACTAAAGAAATTTCCAAACCTACGTTGCAGGTGTTTACCAGATACATTTCTACAATTTTAAAATTGAATTGTTATATGATATTAGAATTATTTTTGGGGAATATATTTAAATAACTTACGATGGATTATTAACATCATACAGTGATAGTAACTCCTGGATGGAATTTGAATGGAAAGAATCAGAGGTAAGTAATCTATATTTTTGTTTAAAAAAAAATTTCTAATATTTTTACTTACATCTCTTTGTAGGTTGCCGAAACCCTCCTGAATTGAATGATGAATACAGACCTTTTCTCTATTCTAAAAACCAAATTCGAGTAAACGAAAGCGAGAACAAACGGATTTTGACAAAGACCGACAGTATTCGGAATCGTAATAAATGATGTCTTATGGCGTTTTGTCCGATGGACAGGTCCATTAGGATCTCAAAAAATCGAAATTATTAAAGAGTACAACACTGGAATTTGACACAAAGGAAGATAAAGATATAGATAAAGTCGTAGAAATACTTTCTCATATCGTACGAGTATTACGAGCGCAAGCTAATGCAGTGGTATTATATTAACATTTTATAATAGGTCATCAATCTTTGCTTGAATTTTAAAGAGAGACTATATTTCTGCCTAATTTAATTAATAATTATGAAAACTATAGTAGGATTTGTAGTTACGAAATAGCTGAAATAATAATAATTCCTTACGCACGCATCTGACTAATGAAAATTTTATTAAAAACTTAGTGGTAAAAATTTTTATTAATTATACATTTTTAGTTCGCCTACCTACCTTTACCTGGATTAAGTATTTTATTGCTTATTATTTCAACAAAATTTGTACAGTAAATCATAAACAAATAATCTTTTTAGATTAGTGATACTTTATTAATTTAATATACCCTTTTTTAACGATCACTTGGGCATTTTGAAACTTTTTCGCAAAATGAATTTTCAGTTCGCCTTATTTGTCCGGAATTTGGAAACACTTTGTATATATGGACAAACTAGTTTCGCCCGAAACATAGACTAGTCATAGTCATTTGTAAATGGCAATAGAAAATAAAAAATTCTATGAATTATATATATGTATATAACACAAAAAGTTCAGAAAATATTTATGAACCTAATCGTTAAGTTTTCAAGTCGGTTTCTGATAGTTTAAGTTTAATTACATAGAGGTTAGGTGGTTGGAATCGGTTTGATTCCCGAAAACCGGTTTTAAAATTTTTTAAAAAATATGAACCGGTTTAATTTGGTTGCATACAACAAACGGTTCAATTCGGTTTCCCGGTATGAATTGAATTTAGTTGACAACCTGTTTGTTTTGCTCTAAAAAGATTTACCCTTTTTGATTTGTGACGTCAAATATAACCTTAGCCGAAAGCACAAATCAACTTAATTCGAATTGTTAAATATTGTAATTTGATTCATTAAATGTTTAAAATCTAAATGAATTATCTTACATAAACTAGAAATTGTGAATAGAGGGGACTTCGTCCCCACGCAACTTATCAACCTATCCCATTCATTGCAATGTAATTTACAAGAATGTTTACTTATAAAATGAAAAGAACAAATAATTACTTGAAATACATATATAAATTGTTTGTCTT